ATCACGTTATATATGAATTCTAGAATCTTTAACAGGTCTGAATTCTACAATGTTAAAATGTCAGAATTCTAGAATCATAAAATGTCTCAATTAAAGACTCCTAGAATGTGTGAATTCTAGAATCTTAAAATAGCATAAATTCTAGAATCCTAGAATGTATGAATTCTAGAATCATAAAGAGTCTGAATGTGAGAATCATAAAATGTCTGAATCTCAATTCTAGAATCCAATGATGTCTGAATTTTAGAATTTCAGAATGTCTGAATTCTAGAATCATAAAATGTGTGAATTCTAGAAACCTGTAATATATAAATTCTAGAATCCTAAAAAGATCTGAATTCTGGAATTTTAGAATGTATGAATTCTAGAATCTTAAATAGGTCTAAATTATAGAATCCTAGAACGTAAATAGGTCTAAATTCTAGAATCCTAGAACGTATGAATCCTAGAATCTTGAAAAGTGTGAATTCTAGAATCCTAGAAAGTATGAATTCTATAATCCTAAAAAGGTCAGTAATTCTAGAATTCTAGAATGTATGAATTCTAGAATCTTAGCATGTATGAATTCTAGAATGTGAAATTGTGATGCTGCTCCTGCCCAGCCTATCAGGAGGGAGCCTTGAGCCTTCCAGCTCTACTACTGTGTGACTTACAGGCTGTTGCTACCCTCTTGGGGCCCCGGGAGTCCTGTCTTCAGTGGGAGGCACTATGCCACTTTGGAAGGCTCCCATGGGCAGCCAGAAAGCATCACATACAGAGGGGACGGGAAAGGAACTCTGGGGCACCTTTTCTTTTGCCGAGGACATTCTCCCATCCAAACTTTTATTCAAGCCGTGCCCCCTGCCTGGAGCACTTTTCAATCTCTTCTCTGCAGCTCCAATTCACCTGAGATTGCAGCCTTTCTCAGGAAGTCTTCTCAATTTTTTTTTCCCCCAGGTTGAGAGCACTTAGCCTTCTTTGAGGCCTTCTCAAAGCCTATGAGCAGTGAACAGCCCTGGCTGACAGTGCAGCCCGTCCTGCCCAAACTCTCAAATGACTAAGGGTGGCGATATGGTCATCCCAGCGCCTTCTCGGCTCACCAGCTGTGCCCCATCTCCACCTCCAAATACCTTCACAGGAGGCACTTGTGCTCATTCCCTGGGCGATTTTCTCCTTCCGCTTAAATCCTGATGCCTCACTGCTTGCGTGGGATCTTGGGGCCTTGGGAAAAGGAGTCTAAAGGGCTCTGGCAAAGCGGACGCGGATCTGGGAGTGGGTAACTGTGCAGAGGTGTGGGAGGTCATCACAGGGCCTTGCGGGGGATGTGTTGTGGGAATTCCGGGTGGAGACTTTCAGGGCACTACGCAGGGTCTCTAAGCACTAAGATTACAAGTGTGAACCACCACATACCGTCTAAGAACTACTTTTAGTGTTTTCTGTATAATGTATGTCTGCTGGCAACGAATTGCATCAGTTTTTATTTATCTGAAATGTCTTTATTTCACCTTTATTTCTAAAAGATACTGTTTTGGGCATAAGATTCTGGTGAATAGTGTTTTCCTTTGTACATTGGACAAAGAAGTTATAGAGGGAGTGGAAAGTTTCCAAGAGGACAAGCAAATCAAGATCTAAGAATACTGACTGGATTAAGCAACAAGGTCATAGTAATGATGGCTGGTAATAGATTGGAGTAGGTTAGAAATAGCAAAAATTATTACAATTAAAGACAGTAGAAGCAATGAGATACTATCCTACAACAGTCAGAAGGTCTATTATTAAAATGCCGAAATCTAACAAATGTTGGTGAGGTTGTGGAGAAAAAGGAATGCTTACATACTGCTGATGAGAATGTAAATTAGTTCAGTCACTATTGAAAGCAGTTTGAAGATGTCCCAAAGAACTTAAAACAGAACTACTATTTGACCCAGCAATCTTATTACTGGGTATACATTCAAAGAAAATTAAATTATTCTACCAAAAAGGAACGTGCACTGACATGTTCATTGCAATTGCTATTCACAGTAGCAAATTCTCTCAGCACGTTTATTTTGATTTCTGACTCTATAGACTGTGGGTGTTTTGATTTTACTTTTCTAAGTTATCTCTCTTGCTCACTTTTAGATTTCTTTCTCGTGCTGTTAGGAAGTTTGAATTTTATTTCTATTAAGTATTTTTTTATCTTTTTTTTTTAACACTGCGATTTTGAATTCAAGGGCTTATGTTTAGTTTGAACTTAGAAATTTGTAAATTACCATTAATATTGTTACTTATATTTTTTACTGTAGTGAAAAAAATGGGCATTATTAACTCCTCTTTATAGTTTTCATCTAGTTAAAGCTATATTTATATTTTATAAAATTTGTCCCTTTTTATAGTAGTTGGCTGTATTTATTACACTCAATATTCCAGTTCATTCGTTTTCTTATCATTTCAATTTATAGGTTAACTCACACACTGTGTATTAACTTGATATTCTTTTTTGCTGTTGTTCAAATATGCTTTTAACTTGAGACAGTCTCACTCTGTTACCTAGGCTGGAGTGCAGTGACATGATACTGGCTCACTGCAACCCCCACCTCCCAGGCTCAAGGGATCCTCCCACCTCACCCTCTCAAGTTGCTGGAACTACAAGTGCATACCACCATGCCTGGCTAATTTTCACATTTTTTGTAGAGATTTAGCCCAGGCTATTCTCAAACTACTGAGCTAAAGCAATTCACCTTCCTCAGCCTTCCAAAGTGCTGGAATTACAGGCATGAGCCACTACACCTGGCCTTAAATTTTATAGCTTTTTGTTCTTTTCACAAAAGTAATATTAATTTCGTAATGTATTTATGTAAACATTTTAAACATAATTTCAATAAGAAAAGCTATTGAATTTTTTTGCCCACATACTTCCTCATTTCTTTTTGTCCATCAGTTTCTAATTTGGTTCTCACTTTTGGAAAATACTACATTTTGGATTTGTGTGGTTCTGTTATTTTTGTGTTTATTTTATTTTCCCTGGGAGCAAGATGAACAGCCACATAGATTTGATCTACTTGTGAACAGTCACTATTCGAATTAGGCACGTGCTTCTTAGGTCTACTACTCCTCTGGATTGTTCTCTAGATTTACTTCTGTTCTATGAAGTTCTTGAATTTTCCTTTAACTCTGTTTTGCACTTTAAGCGTTTTTATAACTTCTTGAGAATTTTTAATTGTCTACATTAAAATATTTAAGAATATGTAGCATTTTTTCTAAAGTTGCAAATATCCACAGCACTTTATGAGATATCCCAAGCTTCTTCATCCAGAATATGCTTCCCTCTCAAATATGCCATGTAGTAATAGTAACTATAAAGGTTAATTTATTTGATACTTAAAAGTTTATCTTGGCCGGGTGCGGTGGCTCACACCTTTAACCCCAGAACTTTGGAAGGCGGAGGAGGGAGGATCACGAGGTCAAGAGATCGAGACCATCCTGGCCAACATGGTGAAACCCTGTCTCTACTAATAAATACAAAAATTAGCTGGGCGTGGTGGTGTGCACCTGTCGTCCAAGCTACTTGGAAGGCTGAGGCAGGAGAATTGCTTGAACCCAGGAGGCGGAGGTTGTGGTGAGCCGAGATCGCGCCATTGCACTCCAGCCTGGGTAACAGGAGAGAAACTCCGTCTCAAAAAAATAATAATAATAATCTAAAGAGAGATGCTTTTTGTGGCTTACTTCAAGTCTGCATTAAGATAGATGTTCTGGGAATTATTTTTCTTTTTAAAGCAAAAGTGAAATATTCTAAATTTGTAAAATAAATAAATATACCAATCATCTCTCCTTAAGGAAAAAAAGTGGCCAGTCTATTGAAATACCTAAGTATTATAGCAAAAGTTTAAAATCTTCAATATTAATCAATGTGATAGAAATTTTTGAAAATTATAATTACAAGGGAAAAATAAAGATAACACCTCCATGAAAGGTTTTAAACATATTTTAGATAAATGCTTTTTTAAATCATTAGCCTTTTACTTTTAAAATGGAGTAAGGAAGTCTCAAAGAACTATTATCAGAGAAAAAGAAAAAAAATAGTACATCTTCAGTAACTGTAATTGTATTTTGACCAACAAAAATATAGTGGATTTTTTAATGCCGTATTTAGATTATGTTTGAACTTTTTTTTTTTTTTTTTTGAGACGGAGTTTCGCTCTTGTTACCCAGGCTGGAGTGCAATGGCGCGATCTCGGCTCACCGCAACCTCCGCCTCCTGGGTTCAAGCAATTCTCCTGCCTCAGCCTCCCGAGTAGCTGGGACTACAGGCGTGCGCCACCATGCCCAGCTAATTTTTGTATTTTTAGTAGAGATGGGGTTTCACCATGTTGACCAGGATGGTCTCGATCTCTTGACCTTGTGATCCACCCGCCTCGGCCTCCCAAAGTGCTGGGTTTACAGGCGTGAGCCACCGCCCCCGGCCTTGAACTTAGTTTAATTAATAAACTATATGATTTTCAATGTTTTCACACTGATGAGCAGTGAATGAAATGCCATCCTGTCACCAATGCTAAACTATTTCACTTCAATCAAGACGGGGCAACAGATAGTAACAGTATACTATTACTATTGGTTGATACAGTGAAATGACTAGTTAAGTAATCCTTTTGTCCAGAAAACTTAAAGCACATAAGTTGGAGACTATTGTTCTTAAAAGTTACATTTCAAGAGACGGCGCTCAGTCTGGGGCGAGCGCTCTAGTGAGCGCGGACGGATGCTTAGGCAGTAGTCCTGGCAGCAGCGGGGACAGTAGTGGTGGCAGCAGAAGAGAGGAAGGGGGAGGGCCCCGAGGGCTATGCACGCACGCTCACACTTTAAAGTTCCCTTGGAGGGAGAGGAGGTGGGGCTGCAGAAAGAGGAGGCCAGGAGAGGTCCCATCCGTCCTGTCCCGTCTCCCCCTCTTCCTCTTGCTCCTTGCCCCCTGGCTCTGCGAGAGTTGAGGGTTCGGGTGTCCGTACGTGGCAGTGAGGCAAAAGGGCCAGGAGAGTGGAAAGCGGAGGCAGGGGTGCGGGGGAAGATGCCCATCCTGCTGTTCCTCGTAGACACGTCCGCCTCTATGAACCAGCGCACTGACCTGGGCCCCTCCTATTTAGACATTGCCAAAGGCGCTGTGGAGTTATTCTTGAAGCTGCGCGCCCGGGACCCAGCCAGCCGTGGAGACAGGTACATGCTGGTCACCTACGATGAACCCCCGTACTGCATCAAGGTTGGTTGGAAGGAAAATAATGCAACATTCATGAGCGAACTAAAAAATCTTCAGGCTTCTGGACTGACTACTCTTGGTCAGGCTCTAAGATCCTCATTTGGTTTGTTAAATCTCAATAGATTAATATCTGGAATAGACAATTATGGACAGTGAAGAAATTCATTTTTTTTTAGAACCATCTATTTTAATTACTGTCACAGATGGAAACAAGTTAACAAGTACTGCTGGTGTTCAAGAAGAGCTCCATCTTCCTTTGAATTCCCCTCTGCCTGGAAGTGAACTAACCAAAGAACCTTTTCATTGGGATCAAAGGTTATTTGCCCTGGTGTTGTGTTTGCCTGGAGTGGCTTCTACCGAACCAGAGCAATTAGGGAGTGTACCAACTGATGAATCTGCCATCACACAGATGTGTGAAGTCACAGGAGGTCGCTCCTACTTTGTGAGAACACAAAGAATGTTGAATCAATGTTTAGAATCTCTAGTTCAAAAAGTTCAGAGTGACGTAGTTATTAATTTTGAAAAAAACGGGACCAGGTCCACTTCCTATTAGAGAAGATGGACTTATGGATTCACTAGGCCAAGCAATTCATTTGCTGCTCAGCCATGGCATAGTTGTCATAAACTCATTTATGTACGACCTAACTCTAAAACTGGTGTTCCTGTTGGACTTTGGCCAATTCCAGAATCTTTTTGGCCAGATCAGAATTTACCTTCACTACCTCCACGAACATCTCATCCTGTTGTGAGGTTTTCCTGTGTAGATTGTGAGCCAATGGTAATAGACAAACTTCCTTTTGACAAATATGAACTTGAACCTTCACCTTTATCTCAGTATATCTTGGAACAAAAGTCTCCCCATACCTGCTGGCAGGTACTTATCGTTACATATTAGCCAAATATCTGTAACCACTCTAGGATCTGGAAATTATTTTAAGAAGCTTCAAAGGTTAACCTGAAAATAATCGGACTGACTCTGTCAGTAATGTTTCTCATGAATGCTGTCAAATAAACAACAGGGCCAGGCAAATAATTTCAGACTAATATGAATCATTAGTCTACTGTATATTGCCATTTAAAGGAATAGAGTCTGATGAAACCTATATATTTGAGTATTCGGAGTACCCCTTGAAGTTTATCCATGGAACCCAGCTTAACAATCCCTAATATAAAGGATGTAAATCACTTCAGGTATGGCATCTGCAGCTGAAGCAAGTTGTTCAGCCCTTACTTTGAACTTGACAGATTGGAAGTACAGGATAGTTTAGACAAAAAACCATAAGCGCTGAAACTAATTTCTGTATTACTGTGATGTAATAAAACTCCTGTAGTACAAATCACACACACAAAAAAGTTATATTTCATAGTCTCTCTCTCTCTTTTTTTTTTTTTTTTTTCCTGGAGACAGTTCTTAATCTGTCACCCAGACTGGAGTCGAGTGCAGTGGCACAATCTCAGCCTGCCTCAGCCATCTGCATAAGTGGTACTACAGGTGTGTACCACCATGCCTGGCTATTTTTTTGTTTGTTTGTTTTTGTTTTTTTGTTTTTTTTGTTTTTTCAGTAGAGACAAGGTTTCACCATGTTGTCCAGGATGGTCTTGAACTCCTGACCTCAGTTGATCTGCCTACTTTTTGGTAACCACAGGAAGGTTATAACAGTTATGATAAAGATCATAGGCTGGTCATGGTGGCTCACACCTGTAATCACAGTACTTTGCGAGGCCGAGGAGAGGAGGTCAGGAATCTGAGACCAACCTGACCAACAATGGCTGAAACCCCATGTCTATTAATATTAAAAAAATTAAATGGGCATGATGGTGTGTTCCAGTAATTCCAGCTACTCGGGAGGCTGTAGCAGAATAATTGCTTGAACCTGGGAGGAGGGAAGTTGCAGTGAGCCAAGATCATGCCACTGTACTCCAGCCTGGGTGACAGAGCAACACTTCATCTCAATAATAATAATAATAATAATTAAAATTTAAAAATTAGAAAAAAGATCATATAGGAATGTAACTACAAGCCATACTTTCTGAATTTTAAATTATTATTTATAAAATTTACTGAATATTTTTCTTTGCATGTTTTATATATATGGGTCAATTGAATACATAAAGATTTCTTTGCATTTTTATTTATATTGAATGCAATATACAAACATATTAAGCTACAGATAAACTATAAGAGAAATATAGAGGTAAAGGTGGTGTATGTGTGTGCGTACACTTCTTTAAATGGAAAAGGAAATAGTGGACCAAAACAATTTCAGAAGAGTTGACAATTTGTAGCAAATGAGGAACCTTACAAATGCTTAAAGTAAAATTTGTTTCTTGATTGTACACAAACGCATTTACCAAATTTATGTCTCCTGGTTTCAGAAACTTCCTATATATATATATATATATATATATATATATATATATATATATATATAGTTTACTTGTCTATTATCCACATGAGAACTAATACATATTTTTTGTTCCAAAGTTTATGAAACATTTTTATATGACCTGCTCAGAGATTATAAGAATCGTTTCATAAAACTTAATGTTGCTTAGAAGAGAATTTGAATATTCAGTTCTACACTCAGTGACAGTATTACTTCTTATTTCACTATTGCAATCCACTTTCTTCCTTCCCAATTGGAGAAAAAATTATTTGAATCAAATTTCTTTTTCTTTTTTCAGTTATAGTTCCTTCTATTTATTTTATGTTACATTATACAATTTATTAATTTTATCAGGTTAGCTTTTTTCACATGGAAACTGGTCATGTTTTATAAGTTATGGGGTTGATTTAGCATTTATATAAAGTGAACAAATACAGAGGACAGTGCTGAGTGCAGCAGATACTCAACGATCAGGAGAAAAATATTCTTATCAGAGAAAAATGGCATCTTCAGGTCAGAGACTGAAACCTCCAGAGTGGAGAAGTAGCATTGATTGTCCATGTGGAGAAAACACCTGCTCTTCAGCTGAACAACTGATTAAATTTAGAAAAGAAAATGCTGCTTGTTTTATTTTCTAATTTTCTCCAGTTTCTCACTTATTGTTTATTTTTATTCCAAGCTATGTATACATCCAAGCCACTTTTTTTTTGTCTCTGTAATAATTACGGCTTTCTCATGGTGCTCCCTAACCCCATGTAATCTCACATAAGACTTGTTCAGTTCTAATAAAATAGTTTGGAATTTTTGCGATGCAATTATATATATATATGTGTGTGTGTGTGTGTGTGTGTGTGTGTGTGTGTGTGTGTGTATATTTTCTGGAGAGTTTGAGGTCACTTGTAGGTTTTACATACCACATGCCGACCACTTAACTTTATCTTACAAAAGATAAATTTTATTTTACAAAAGTAAAATTTAATATTGAATAAACAATTGCCTTTTCCCTTTTCTTCAGATCCAGAAGAATACCATTTTCCTTACTGTTTCTATAAACTTGACTAATTTCCATATCTCTTGCTAGTGTAATTATATAATGTCTGTCTCTTTTTTACTATCTTACATTACTCAAGATAATTTAATTAGGCTTTGCTTTTGTAAAATGTTTCAGATACCTTTCTGTTTGAAAGCAAAATAATTTTTTTATTTTTTTTGAGACAGAATCTTGCTCTGTCGCCCAGGCAGGAGTGCAATAGTGCAATTTTGGCTCACCACAACCTCCACCTTCTAAGTTCAAGTGATTCTTGTGCCCCAGCCACCTGAGTAGCTGGCACTACAGGTGCACATCACCACACCCAACTAATTGCTAATTATTTATATTTTTACTAGAGACAGGGTTTCATCATGTGGCCAGGCTGGTCTCAAACTCCTGACCTCAGGTGATCCACCCAACTCAGCCTCCCAAAGTGCTGACATTACAGGTGTGAGCCACTGCACTCAGCACAAAATAATATTTTATAGTATGCACATATCACATTTTAAATCTGACTCATCATGAAAGGAAAATTATTGCTGTTTCTAGAAGTTGTGTTTTGTAAATAATAATAAATGAGCATGTGTATGTGTAAACATCTATTTAAAGTTCTCTGTTAAATATATTCAAGATTTTTTCATGCAATGATGTAGTAGCATGTGTATGTGCATGGTTGTGTTTTCTGAGCCTTTGATGTTATATGCAAAATGTGATTGCCAAGATCAGTTGGCATACGCATGCCATGATGGTTTGCTGCACCTATCCATTTATCATCTTGGTCTTAAGCCCTGCATGCATTAGTTATTTTTCTGGATGCCCTTCTTCCCATCTCCTGCAACAGGTCCTGCTGTATGTTGTCCCCCTCCCTGTCCATCTGTTCTCACTGTTCAACTCCCACTTACCAATGAGAACATGTGGTTTTCAGTTTTCTGTTCCTGTGTTAGTTTGCTGCGAACGATGGCTTCCAGCTTCATCCATGTCTCGGCAAAGTTTACAATCTCATTCCTCTTTATGGCTGCATAGTATTCCATGGTATATATGTACCACATTTTCTTTATCCAGTCTATCACTGATGGGCAGTTGGGTTGGTTCTACGTCCTTGCTATTTTAAACACTGCTGCAATAAACATATGTGTGCATGTATCTTTATACTAGAACACTTCATATTCCTTTGTGTATACACCCAGTAATGGAGTTACCGGGTCAAATAGTATTTCTGGTTCTGAATTCTTGAGGAATTGCCACACTTTCTTCCACAATGGTTGAACGAGTCTACCTTTCCACCAACAGTGTAAAAGCATTCCTATTTCACCACAGCCTCGTCAGCATATGTTGTTTCCTGACTTTTTAATAATCGCCATTCTGACTGGTGTGAGATGGTATCTCATTGTGGTTTTGATTTGCATTTCTCTAATGATCAGTGATGTTGAGCTTTTTAAAATATGTTTGTGGGCTGCATAAATGTCTTCCTTGGTGAAGTGTCTCTTTTATTTTTTAAAATTTACTTTAACTTTTTTTTTTTTTTTTTAATGAGACGGAGTTTCGCTCTTGTCACCCAACCTGGAGTGCAATGGTGCGATCTCGGCTCACTGCAACCTCGACCTCCTGGGTTCAAGCAATTCTCCTGCCTCAGCCTCCCAAGTAGCTGGGACTACAGGTGCATGCCACCATGCCCAGCTAATTTTTTTGTATTTTTAGTAGAGACAAGGTTTCACCTTGTTGACCAGGATGGTCTCGATCTCTTGACCTTGTGATCCACCCACCTCG